CCTCTATCAAGGGTCCTGCCCCCCGCTGCTGCAGTGGCTGGGTGGGGACATGGCCAGATGCCAGCTGGCAGCGCCTCTTATGTTGGGGGGCAGGGACGGGGGTTATTCCCCCTCTCTCTGGTGTCTAGCAGTTGGGGCTTATTTTGCTGCTTGCCCCAAGTGGGGAGCAAGTGTTGGTGGTGGTGGTGGTGGTCGGGGTGGGCAGACGCAGCTTGGTCTCTGGGGGCAGTGGGGTAGAGTGGGGAATAACTCCCCTCCCTTCCCCCTCTGCTTCAGGGGCCATGCTGCCCTGCTGCTGCAGCAGCAAGGAAGGAGTGCCTGGCAGACCCACTTTGGGTCCCTGCCAGTGGGACAGAGAGCGGGGAATTAAACCCCTCACTGGCCAGTTCAGCCCAGGCTAGCCATGCCTCCTTCCCCCCCACCCCCCAGCACAGCTTTCCTGTAGCCAAGGAAGTGCTCCAGTGCCCCCTGGTGCCTGGTGTGAGCAACTGCATGCATGTGCCCACAGTTTCTCAGTCCAGAAGGAATGTCTCTGCTGTTACACTTTGGTTCAACCTAGGCTGGTTAGACTTTCCAGCAAAGGTTGAATCAATTCAAGCTCTGGCTTTTTGAATGTCTATCCCTAGCATTGGTGACTGGAAGGGGTGAAAGCCTGACTCCTGGGCCATAGGGCTCTGTCTGGTCTTGTGATAGAGCATCTGTGAACCCATGCTGCTGGAGAGAGGGGTGCAAGCAAAGTCATGCCCCCTGGAGAGCTGGAAGGGCTAGGTGGGAGAAGGAGTGGGAGTTTGCTGGTTTACAGAGACCCAAAAGGGTTCAAGTATTTTGTCTGGGAACAGGAGCAGCTTGTTGGTTATTAAAGCTGAAAGGAAGGAGGCCATAGTGGGAGATGCCAGGGAAGGCACTCTGTGTTGGGATTAGCAGGTTTAGACCCCAGGTGGGGTCACTGATCTGGAAAGTGGAAGGGCTAGTGTGGGAGAGACCTAATGTGACTAGTGAGGGCATGCCACAAGAGCACAGTAGGTGCTGAAAAGAGCATTTCTAGGTGCAGACCTGGAGCTCTGGATCAAGGTAGAGCTGGATGTCCAGGGGGTATAAGCATTAGGGCTGTGTGAAGCTTCAGGTGATGATTTGATTTGGAGGAGATTCAGCTCAATTTGGTGGCCGAATCTCCAAATCCGAATCAAATCAGGGGACTAATTAAAAGGTCTGAATCAATTCGAAGCTCTCCGAATCAATTTGGAAAAGATTTGGAGAGGTTTGTCAATTCAGGCAGTCCCATCTGGCTGCACCAGGGACCTGGACCTGGACTCCATGCTGGAATGTAGGGGGCAGGGGAGGAGAGGCTGCAGCAGTAGGGAGGGGACCATGGGAGGACACCTGCCAGGCCCCATGCCCTGCCTGCTCCCCCAGACCCCCTGAGCACCCCTGTCCCCCGCCTGCTCTCTCAGCCCCCACATGGCTGCCCTGCCCGACCCCAGCTCGTTTGTTTAAAAAAAAGCCCCCACT